TAAGAGAGGACAATTTCATCCTACCTTGAGCAAATGCCTCAAACAGTGATAAATAATAATGTGAAAAACTGAAATGCTCAACTTTCATTGGTTCTGCATATGTTACAATGGCAACTCAAAGTCTCGATTCCATAATAGTTAGACCCCAGTTCAACCCCAAAACTATAGCATTCTCAATAATTTATCAGATCGAGCTTGTTTTCTGGTTCAAGTACCAGAAAATGCATTTTTGTCATCAGGATATTGTGGTATAGGTTAATTATCTTGTGCTACGTCAGAACTTAGTCCCTTTACCCAAACAACAAACGCTTCTTTAGAACTTTAAAGAAAAAATCCAAACAAAATTTTCATCAGGGAGCACTAATTTAAACCATAATAACTTCTATGGTAATTTTTGCATTATAGCATTAAAACTTGAAAAAGTTGGCCCAGCTTTTTCAAGTTTTAATACACGTCCATCGATCGTTGCCATTCGTAGCTAGACAACAGGATAAACTAATTAATATAGTCTCGCATAACAAAACTGGACCATTTTTTTTGGAATTCAATTGATGCAGAAACATGTTTTAGCTTTTAACAATTTAGTTAGCAAATAGTACAATTAAGTTAGTGTAGCATTTTAGATCCTTTAATCTTTTTGTTACGAGAATCTCACTAAGAAAATACGGTACAATTGGAAAGTCCTTTGTAGAAAATTGTTTGTAGTGATTTTGCTACAAATACATATGGTGAGTCCTGGGACTCATCTTGTGAAAAATCATGAGTCCCGTCCATGCCAGCTAGTACCAATAAGTCCCACTTCAAAAGACAATGATCAGAGTCCTATATTGAAAAATAATGCTTCTGCCTTTATGTTAAAATCTCCAGACAGTTAATCTGAAGACAGACTTCAAAACTCTGTATTACATGTACAGTATACTGAAATTTTTTTAGAGTTCTTCTATTTTAATGCACAACAAAGGCTAAATGAAATAAGCCTAGTTTAACAACAGCCACAATAACTACCACAGAAATCACATGAACAGGATATTCTACAAGAACACATCTTCAGATCGATCAACTGATCTTTGATTTATTTTGCATCTTTGGGGATTTTTATGCATCAGGGATGCAGGACGCAGAGATAACAAAATCTCTTTGTTTGTAACAAAACTCTTACTATTTTATGAGCAACAATAAACAACAAAAGAAAGATACTTGTACAGTATGATTAAGAAACGGTCCAGAGAAGAATGATAGCAACAACGGCAACGAACATGTTGGAATGCAAAAAAGGTGCTAACTTTTCCATTGTCTGTACTTACTTCTGATTGGCTTAAACAGCAAAAGTTAACAAAACTTCATAAAGCAGTACATATATTCATCCTTACTTTCCAACCATCTTCCATATAACAAAATCTGGTCTCAGTTTGAATAACAAAGAAATCCTATGTGGGGAACATGTAAAATTGTAAACTTTTCTTGGCTATTGTTTTTAACTCTTGTGATTGGTCAAAATAATTTAACACAAAAAACCACCCTCTCAAAGTGGAGTGTAGATGCATTTTATTGCGTAAACGGCCTTCATTTAGGTTTACGCATTCTCTGTGTAAAAATGAGAACATCCCTATGTAAGGAAAGCACCGTTGCCGCATAACAAAAGAAATTGCCATCCACCTTAACTAGCTTTACCCGGATCATTACTTAAACTGCAGTAAATTATAAAAAGGGTACTGTGAAACCTAGGAATGAATTAGTTAATTATTATAAGTGTTAATAAACACAAAACTTTGTAGATATAAGCATGAAATTGTTTACACTTTTGTTCTAGTGCTTGTCAGTCAAGCAATCAAAATAAATAAAAATAAATGGAACAGTAAGTTGCAAAGAAATTCCATTTCTGGAGATGCCCTGCACTTTTGTCCCTATTATTATTATACATACAGATCTTGATTTTACAAGGAGCAGACACAAAACCATGTACCCTAGCAGAGACAAATATTGATTAAGGGGCAAGTATTTTGAAATAAAATATCTTACACATTCTATGTTGACTCTGACATGAACTAACTTGCCTGTAAATAATTTGTATGCATAGTCAAGTTAGTTCTTGTCAACAAATATCATTTATACATTCACGTTTTGTCAAAGATGCAAAATGTTGGGTATCCATGACGGAAAGTTTAAATCTTCCTAATAATCATCGCTAGCTCTATCCACTAATAATGGGAAATATTTTCTGTGAATGTGTATAAGTCAAAGTGACACGGCCAAGGTTCTTAGCTAACTTCACCGTAGCCAAATGACTGACACTTAATTGTGCTTTATAAATTTATGTCATTGGCATTTCTTGTGATTGGACCAGGTGGAGAAATTGCATGGTTTACTTTCCAATATAAATACATTCTTCTTCAGTTTTAAAGAAAAAGATGCTCGAACTTAAAAAAGAGATGTGTAAACATTTAGCTGAAGATTCATTTAATGCCGATGATGCAGATGCTTGTTCGAATGTTTGAGTCATGCTGTAGGAAGATAAATGTATGTTTACTTGTGCACACCCAGGTAAAAAGTCAGGCGGGATCCCGGCGGGATCCCGCTAATCCCACCTGGGATCCCGGGTGGGATTAGCGGGATCCCGCCTCTAATGGCGGGATCCCGCCATTCCCACCTGGGATTAAAAATTAATCCCACCTGGGATCCCGCCTAAAACACGGGATTATCACATCCCACCTGGGATCCTGGGTGGGATCCACACATCCCACCCGGGATCCTGGGTGGGATTCACATATCCCACCTGGGATCACACATCACTATGAATTGCTACTTTAATGAAAATCCCATGAAAACGCCTTGAAAACCCCATGAAAGCACTTTTAATGGCCATGAAAACAGAGATTTAGATTTCATGGTGTTATATTCAAGCCATGAATTTCCCATGAAATATGGAATGAGTGATTTTCATGGGCCATGAAAAAAATTTAGAGCACTGAAAATAGCCTGCGTAGCAGGCGCTTGGAAGTAGCGGGCGAAAGAGAGAACGGGCGCGCGCGAGGGAGACACGCTTGGAAGTGGTGGGCACAAGAGAAAACGGGCGCGCGAGAAGGAGACACGCGAGGGGAGAGGAAGCGCCTGCACGGAAGGCGCCCGAAAATCGTTTCCCGCCCGCTCTCTAATTACTTGGCAGCCGTTGCGTGATCTGTCATCTTCGGTCTAATCTGTTATAAAGATCAGCTGGGTTATCTGATTATAGAGCGATGGAGAAATAAACTGATGGTTAACACACAGCTTTAAATCGTTTTTTAACATGGGCACAATAAATAGGAAATAACAAAGTAAAAACTGGGTACCTTTTAAAGAATGCATGCTGTGTATTATAAAAACTAAAAATATTGTTCTGGTCAGACACCAACGATCACAGTGTACGTGGAAAATGACCATATTGCTTTTACTGCGCTAACTGGCAGCCGTTTTTGGAGCAGACATGTCTTACTTAGCGGACCTAAACCTCAGAACACAAACTGTACCGACATGTTTTCTACTGAAGTAATGAGACATAAACAACAGACCTCAGGTCGTCTCCGAACGGCGAATAATACAATAGTGAAATGTTTTTTTCAAATTCATGCCCCTGGTAAGTGTTTCATTTAATCAATCATGTCCAAGTTTTGATGGTATGCGTTCCCTCGACAGCACAAGCCGCCAAGTTCTCCTGAGCAAAGAATATTTCCTCTGATCTTCATTGCAACGATTCGACAAATCTTTTGTCTCTCGCCACTTCTGTTGATGCGTATCCGATGTCAATTCTTTCCATCGTGAATACCGTTTGAACACTCCAACTTTTCTTTGAGATTACAGCCACATAGTCCCATTATCCAGATTGAAGTGACCTCCGAGACCTGAACTTCGATTGTATACAATTTAGTGGTTTCAGGACCCAGTGGTGTAATGCAAGATCTTCACTACGTTGTCCATGTACTATTGATTGACAGTTTTCTCGCCCCGCGCGGTTAATTTTTCCCTCGGGAGCCTCTCGACCAATTGGAAATATCCGCACTCACAGAGTGCGAGTTGAAACGATTTTCGGGGGCCTTCCGTGCAGGCGCTCCCTCACCCCTTGCGTGTCTCCCTCGCGCGCGCCCGTTCTCTCTTTCGCCCGCTACTTCCAAGCGCCTGCTACGCAGGCTACACTGAAAATGGATTTCATGGGCCATGAAATTTCCACATATTACATATTGGCAGGTTTCATGACCCATGAAAATGTTACTTTGCTGTCTATGTATTTCATGGGTCATGAAAAACCCATGAAAACACTTTAAGGGGAATTCACCATGATGCAAAATCATGAAAATGCCATGAATTAAAGCTAAGTAGAAATGGATGAAACATTATTTTAAGATAATAAAATCTGTTTAATTTAAGTCACTTGAAGTGTTCTTGTTTTGCAGTTGAGTCCCAAGAATCTGATTAATACTAAACAGCACTGTCATGAAGTTCTGAGCCACCCAATGCTTTTAATGTTTCACCTGCACTCATGATCAATTGTTAGGAATTTCTTTGCAAACAGTTGCGGCATCAGCTGTAACATTAACATTTGTAAATCAAAATCAGATGAACTCAGCATATAACCTGCAGGTGTTATAGAGTATGACTCTTAATGACAGATATTTCCATCAATTTTGTGTTACTGAGTGCTCTTGCACTCTTAATGACAGCTCCCTGCTAAAACTAATGGTTTCTCCGAATATAATTTTCCATCAATTTTGTAACTAATTAACTTGCATCATTTAAGTGTCAGTAATAAACATCTAAAAACCAGATCTTGAGGTTTTCATCAACTGCAGTTGTGAGTGGATGAGACAGATGACTCAGGAGGACTGGAACAGTTTGTCCAATGGAATCCTCTGAACACCAAAGACCACAGCTGGGAATAAACTCTGCCTTTCTGTAGAAACTCACAGCTGCCCACATAAATGACTTCTGTGAAAAAGTGTGTTGATAGATCTGGTCAACAACACCAAACCTTAACGACCTGCTGGCACTACAGCTGCTAGCCTCTGAGCTTGAGGGAGGACTGTAAAAAACAATAGTTGGCCTTTTTGCGTGGGTGTTGTGTTGAAATGTAAAGGTAGCTCTTGGGAGTGCTGCTTATCATCCAATAAAAATTGGTGGTAGACAACTGCTGTTGGTTGAAGGCCCTCGAGGATAGACAAATGCACATCTGATATAGCCTGACTTCCCTCCGGTCTCCAATTGGTAAACTTTGGAAATTTCTTTAGATTTCCCTTTTTACGAGCCACTTCTTTCTCCATTTGATAAATCGTCCACAGTGACTGGACTTGAGGGATTTCTTTCTTGTAAATCTCATTCATGTGAGCCAGGTTGTCATTTGAGAGATGCATTGTTCCCAGTGAACTTCCATCTGAGAGAAATGGTGACAGTGAATCTCTACTCAAGTGACTATCATCTCCACATGGAAGTACGAAGGGAAGTTTATTCCTCATCTTTCCAGACAATTTCATATAGTGACACCACTCAAAGATCTGTTAACAAAGAATAAATACAGAAAATGTCTAGTGAAAAGAATACAATAGACAGATACACATATATTGTAAGTAACGTAACTACATAAGCAGGAGTGTTGCATCCGCCTATACAATAACAATGTAAGCCCGGATTTATTTTTCAATGTTAATTTTCCAGCAATTTAGGAAATTCCAGGAGTATGAACACTGGCACATGCACAGCATATCCATAATGAGACAGCTAAAATAATCATTAACTAGCTTTTAATAAGAACCCTGTCTGTACATCTAACATACAATCTGTACTTGTGCTCAAAGCTCACTGAAAGCATTACCTGATAAGTTCTAAGAATGGTGGCCTCTGGATGTCTTCTATTCAGCGCCCTCCTGCACAGCCATGAATTGAATCTCTCATAGGCAAACATCCATGTACCGTTTACAGGCCCAAACCTCTCAATCCCTTCTGGCAGGTGATGGAGTATGTGATTTGTGATAACCTTTCACTGTCGCTAGAGTCACTATTCGTACTCGAATCGCTTTCGTTAATTCTTGATTTCTTAGCCGTTGACGGCCCTTCGATGGATTTCTTCGAATCCCACAAGCCGTATAACTTAAGGTGTTGCTTTACCTTATAACTTGATTGCACTGCTTCACCTTTGCAAATGGTGCAAAAACAGACTCGAGAAGGCAATGAATCGACAACAAGGCCCTTGTGGGTTCAAGCGATGGTTCAAGCAAGTACAATGCGCAGGCCCAAAAGCCGAGTTTACGGTCGTTTACCGAAACGTTTACGACGATGAGCCGAAGCCGGTCGACTGCGAGGGCTCATGGGATACTCTGTATCATGTGACTTCTGACGGGGAAGAGGCGGTTTTTTTGGAGTCAAATCTTTGGATTCGCTTGAAAATTCACTTTCACTAAATTTGATGCCATGGAGCAGATCTTTTCTGGTTTCCAATCTGCCGACAAAGATCGCATCTTGGAGGTTCTACTGAACGAAGGGGTAAGTTCTTGTTGATGAAGAAGCGTTTATAACATTTGTTCGTCGAACGAAATGTACACCACAGATCGCACGCTCAAAGCGGTTTCGTTTAGTCCTTGAAAATACTGTAACTTACATTCGATTACTTTTTTTACAGCTTTCATTCAATCCTTGTTCAACATCATAAATTATAGTGTCCTGACTTTCCTAACGTTTTGATCGCCACAGATTGATGATCTAGAGACTCTCGAAGCGGCGAGAGAAGATGACCTTCATCGCGCGGGTCTCAAAATGGGAGATCGAAAGAAAGTCCCCTGAACAGCTCACTATCGAGCTTATACAGTGTGCATTCTCTTGCTTTCTTTAAATTTAGCTACAGCAAAAGGAATGCATTGAAATATTTTTTTATGGGCTGTTTGAAAGTCATTGTCTTGTTTAATGTCAATTGGAAAATAATCAGTGAACCTAGTCCTTGCTCTTGAAGTCCCCCCCAATCATTGGGCACACAAGTTTCTTATTGTTTTTACCCCCTATTTGACATCATATGGCAATCTCTTGCAATTTACTTTTTCAGAGTAACAAGACTTTTGTCAACGAAGAGAAAAAGTCAAAAGGTAATTGATAAATAATCATAATGGCTGCCACTCTAACTTATAATTTAGGGCCTCTTTATACAGCTGTATAAGACTAAAATTATTATTTTCCATCTAAACAGAAAAGGTGCGAAGAAACAATTTAAATCCAGCATCTTTGCATCTTTTGTAGTGTCAATCTTCCACATTTTTAACCATACATGTTTGTTTGTCTCTATATCTCTGGTGTTTTTTTTTTATCTTACAGTGTATTTAATTAATTTTGTATGTTACACTGAGGAGGTAAATACTAGTTTTCAAATTTACTTAATATTGTGCATACATGTAAATAGTGCATTTTTGTTGCTTACGATTTCAGAAAATGGGAATAAAGAAAGCAGAAGAGACCCTGTCCCAACATCCACTGTCAAGGTAATTATCCACCTAATTTAGTGACTTCTATCATTATAATTATAAACTTGAAAACTGGAACTTGCCAAACCAAAACCGTCAAAAGCAAAACCGGTACTCGCTCAATTCAAGCAAATTTGAATTTCATTTGTAAGTTGCCCCGAGCAATCTGCCAATCAATATTTCAACATTATGTGGAAAAGAACGTAGTATTGGTATTGGTACTAATATTGGTTTCTTATCTTTTTGGTGATTTTCAGGGCCACGACGGGGGCAGTTTAAGTGTTGGTCAGTGGGTGGCAGTTGCCTACAATGAAGGCTTCTTCATAGGCAAGATAACTGCCATCAATATGCGTGTGCTGGACGAGACTGTGGAAGAAATTGACGTCAATTTTTTGACAAAGACAACAAAGGGAAATTACAAGTGGCCAAAACGCAAGGACACTGACATAGTTAGTACAACCTATATATTTTTTTCAACAACTACCGTTAACGAGGATGGCAAAAACTTTGTTGTCAACAATGAAGACAACATCTCAAAGCATTATGAGAGCTACAAAAAGGCTTATATGATTAATTAACTTATGGGGGTAAACAGGCTTTTAGCCAGCATTTTGCATGTGGGCGTCCACTAAATAATTGAAATAACGAATTAATGACATCTCTGATGATCAAAAGCATACATGATGCAAAAATGAGGAAAACAAACTATGAAATGATGTTATTCACACAATCATATTTAAAAGAATCACAAACCCTCCCAGTGATCAACTTGGACATCAAGATCTTTTAAAAAAATGTTTTCCTGAAAACTGGGCGTCCACAGGACACCCGGACGCCCACCTGGCTAAAAGCTTGGGGGTAAACAATGATTGACATATACAATGCATGCATTCCAAATTTTGAAATGTTCATAATAATATTAATTTTATTTTTGAAAAGTTCTTGTTCCAGAAATATTGCAGTGAAAAATGATTTGTATATATATGTTGTAGTTAATTTTTTACCCTAGGTAATTTTTATTTTTCCTTTGTTTCAACCTCATAAGCATACATTACCATACCAAAAAACAAAAGAAAAACAAAAATTACCTGGATTAAAAATTTAACTACAACATATACACTCAAACTTTTATATGCTAAAATGGAATTATTATCAATATTCTATAACAGATAACATACAAAATTATGATATCAGATTAATATTTATGATGATATATTTTTAAAATTGATGTAAATATATTTACAGTTGCCAAGTAGAAACCAAAGCAAATTATTTTATTGATTCTCAGTGAATTGCATTCAACTGGAATTTGGACTATTTAGACTATTTAGCTATTGCATAAATAGCAATTTCTAATTTAAAGAGTTATTAATAGAATGTTGTTCTAATAATTATTACTATTATTGCATTACAAGATAAAAGGAAATGAGAAAGAGTAAGGAGTGCTACATGTAGCTGTCTGAGCTGATTCCACCAAATGGGTGCAATAAAAAACTCAATCAATTATGAACCAAACATTTATACCTCATTTAGTCCTGTGTACCACTGTGCTTTTATAGCTACAGTATATATGCACAAAGCAGTAAATGCATCAACCACGTAAGTGTCTTCATTTTTTGTGCTTGAATTATGATTTTATTTTTTAAGCCACCAAAATAATATAAAATAATGTTATTGATTAAACCGTCAACATTCATGGCCTTTTCACAAAGTTTTCATGGTCCATGTTTTGACTTATTTACCCCATGAAAATAACTGAACTCAATTTTCATGGGTCTTCAAAATGCCATGAAAAGGACATGAACATTTTCATGACCCATTAATATTTTAATATTAATGGAATAACCATGGGTTTTTCATGGCCATGAATCCAGTGATGCCCCATTAAAAGTCCATGAATTGCAATATGAAAAACATGGTGTTTAATTCATGGGTTTTTCAAGGTAATTAAAAATCCATTAAAATCCACATAAAACTTTCATGGCATTTTCATGGGTATTTCAGGGACTTGCCCAAACCTGAGAGGGTTTTCATGGGCCATGAAACTTAAAATATTAAGGGGATTTTAATGGCTTTTTTAATGCTTTTTTCATGCCTTTTTCAGGGTGGCTTACCATGAAAATCTCCTTACATTTGGCCATGAAAATACCATTAAAAACCTCTAAAAAACCTGTGAATTGACCATGAAAAAATTCACAGGATTTTCATGGGTTTTTATTTCATAGTGCATTGTCACCCAGGATCTTTACATACATCCCACCTGGGAACATTGGGATAATTTCACATGTAAGATCCCACCTGGGATTTTAGAAGATTTATTCATACTTGCAAAAGTTAAGTCAAACTTAATTAAGAAGACTTTTAACAGCCATGTAGGTTATATATAATTATGTGTTAAACATATCTTAGCAAGCAGTCTAATTAACTTATTATTCTACATTTCTGCATGTGGAGTTAAAAATACGGCTGGAATTTATCGTCTTCCTGTACAATTTAATTTCAAAGGACAACTTATTGTATTAAATTACAAATGTTTTTTTATAAGCAGAAAATGACACCATCGTTCATAAATTGTCCTGTACATACACGTTAAAATGACTTTCAACAAAACAATATTTATTTTATACAAACACACAAAAAGCATACTTCCAACGTAAAAAGCAGTGTTTAAAACTAAAAAAATTAAAAATCATTTACTACAATTTTTTTTGTGCTTGCAGATAGTTTCTTAGTGAGAAGATTTTTGTAAAGCATTAATGAATCGCTACATCCATCATTCCTGACTTAACTTTCCTTTCTAGCTTTTCCCTAGAGTTTCTTCACTTGAAATGATACCTCCATGCATCATTTTCTTCTTTTATATTAGCTTCGATCCTTCGTCTTGATTATGGACGACTCCTGAATAGAAATTCATGGTCAAAACTGCGAAACGCTAGCTGCAGTCCTCGGTGTTTGTCAGCCATTTTGTTTTCACTAGTTCCCAGGGAAGCCCGTGAGTTCAACACATGCGTATTCAGCGTTTTATCGTCACATGGGCCATTTCAACCAATGAAAAGGTGTGAAAATTGGCTGATTCCACGCGGGCACTTTCAAGTCAAAGAAGACGAACTGTAAAGCATGCGTCTTTACAAGAAGACGCTTCTTTTTACTTCAATTTAAAGTCGTTTTCCTGCCAGGTTCAACAAAAAGTATTCCTAACGTTGGTAAGTGATGTTTTTCTCAACTTGAGTTTCGATTTACCCGTGTTGTCTCCCCTTTTTGCGTACCTGAACAAGTTGGATCGGTCACCTTCGATCACGCTTCGATACTCGTTCGTTTCAATTCTAAAACGTCAGGTTGTTTTTGTGTTCATTTGCCTTAAAATCTCAACTTTTCTGTTTGCAGATACTTATTCGTTGCAGTCAAAAGAAAAGTGTATGGCACTGAAGAGCACGACATCAGCCAAATTTAAAAGTCT